ATTTTCCATTATGAACACCTTCTTCGAGCATCGAAAAGTGCATCAGTACACCTGGTACCGGGAAGCTTGTAAGCAGAAGTTGATGCTAGGTTTGACAGTCGCATCGTCTGATTTACGACGTTCTGTGAAGGGAGTTGACGTAAAGAGAGGCGCAGCATAGTCAATCGACCACCACTATCTTGCTGGCACGCTGCGCTGTATCGACTGGGGTGCCATGCGAAGATCTGGTGACGAAAGCAACATGAGAATCAAATGGGAAACATCATCTTCTGTGGACACGAGAGTGAAATTTGCAAGCATTGCACGACGGTATGAACAGATCCCGTTTGATGACAACTGATGTTGAAATCGAGTTGCAGTTCCTTAAGAGCGGCATACTGGAGGCTGCCGCCGAATGCTGCGGATTTAACTGAGTTGGACTGCCACCGGGAGGTCAAAAAAGATCTTCTTCGTGGACACGAGAGGTACAACTGGCAGTTAAAGAGAAGAAGGCCTCAAAAAAGAAGGCGAGCAGGTATTTCTTGCCCAGCCGTCCTGCAGAAGGCTCACGGGACGGAAAAAATTAACTTGGTCTGAATATATGGAAGGAGTCTGCTTCAGACTCTAGTTGTCTTCTGTTGAAGGTCAGACTCTGGCGCAGGTTTTGGAATATTTGAAGCCCTGTCTGACGGTGTACCTCCGCGACCCAAAGGAGAAACGGTTCTGGAAGATGAAGCTGGAGAAGATCATATAGCAACTGCATTGCAGTGCTGCTACTTTAGATGATAGAAGCTGCTTCATAGTCTCCTTCCTATGAAAAAGTAATTCCATATAAACAACGCTTTCATTCACGGATTAGACTGAATTATAGGGGTTTCTTTTTTTGTTTTTGATTGAAAACGTTTTTTTAAATGTAACTCTATCCTTTCTTGCAGTAATACGGTACATGATCCATAGTCACGGAGTTTTTGTGGAATATCTGTAAATCTTCTGTCCGTCTTCGCTCATTTTCTGATTGTGTTTGTTTATTCTTATATAGAAAAGAAGATTGTAATCCTGTTTAAAATGACGGTCTCACAAAAAGTGATCATGGGCGACCTTGGCTCAAGTTCAATTTGTTAATTGTTGTAATGTTGCTGACTCCTGCAAAGTGCGCAAAGAAAAGTGATGCATGTGAATGCGGTTTCTGTTAAATCAGTCACTGTGTAGATATTTATTCCATTCTACACACATGCGATTAATGGATATATTTCATCGATGAGAAAGTAAAGAGCAATTTGCATAGTACAGCTACGTTCAAAGTTTCATGCTGTGAATGAGTTTCGGTTTAAGCTGTCTCTTTTGCTGAAGCTCCAAAACTAGCACTGGATCAGAAACTGCTGGAGAATTGTCTGACATCTTCTCCTTCGCGACAAACAGGTTAAACGGTCATCAAAATCGACTGACTGACACAACACATGTATAATTTCTGACATAACTGCATCATGTACAATGATCTGTACATAGAAACTAGTAAATTCTAGTCAGACGTAATCAGTTAATCAGGAACAGTTGTGAAAGAATATCTATGACACATTGAACTTTGCCTATCAGAAAAAATTTAGCAATACACAACGTTTAACATGCTCTGCCTTTTGTAGCATTTTCAGTATACCGTGATTGGAACAACTGCTTCGTTCTGCTCCTTTGCATTTTCAAATTTTCTGTGATGCTGCAATTAACTATTGAGCACGAATATATTGTTAATTATTATTACCATTCATTACTGCACTTAATATGCTTTGCACAATATGTTGATTATTTGGTGATTTTAATTATTCAGTAAACTTTATGCAATTAATTAATTAAATGTGAAAAACGCTACTCACGTCAGTAGTCGGTGCGTGCATATTATTGATTCGGATTTTCCTATCTTTACTACCAATCTGCATCTGGTTTGGAACCAATAAATTCTGCCACAGCTGTGACTCCTTAATCGATATACCAAAATACCCGAACCCCCAGTTGTTAACACTATAACAAAAATATTCATCAGCCCGCAGCATTTTCTCGATAAGGCAAGAAACCGACGAAAGTAGTACCTTGTTTATGAGATTCTGCGACCAGAGCCACATCCTGCTCATGAATGAACATGTAGAACGACACCGGTAGGAAGCTTTCTTCCACTTCAAGCATCGCCAATAGTATTTCGTCACTGGAGCAAAGTGCAAACTTCAGCGAGTGCTTTGAAGTCAGAAAATTTTCTTTGCACGCCAATTCCACATGACAAGGCAGCACGTATGGAATACAAGCTGCAAGAAATCCCAGACGCCCATATTCACGTAGTTCTTTTCCCTTGACTTGAC